TATATATTTTTTTTTGATGAAATCAAATATTTTAAAATGGAATATAATTTGTTTCCAAATTGGAGTAAGGTTGATTGACGACTTGACTCAATCCTCGAGAGATTCAGACAACATATTTTCTATAGTTACTTTTAGAACCTAGTTTCTTTTTATTTTGAAAACGCTTAGACGCATATATAAAAATCGGCCTAGATATCTACTACTCGATAACAATATAAGAAACGGAATGAATATGATGTTTTCTTAGTACAGACGTGAATTGCACTCGTTGTCACATGTCACTATCGCTCCATGAATCGCTTTCGCCATCTCCATCGTCGCTTGCTACAGCCTGCGAGACCTCAAGTGCGAAATGTTAATGCTTTAAGGACAAAAATGGTAATTACAAATTAAAACAGAGATCACAATGTAAATAATGAAACCTGTCGAATGGAGTTTGCCTTCTCTAGAATCATGCTGATATTGGTATTCATCGTAGCGTCCGATGATGATGTCTTTGTTGTTACCACACGTCTCAGGTTGAATTGCTGTTTATGATTCGAAAGGATATTGCTCAGCCCTATAGAGTATAGATTAAGTAATGAATCAAGAAACTCACTTTTGTTCGGATTTGATGCAAGAAGTCTCCAGCATCCGTCTGTTTTACATTGCCATGACTTTGCTTGTAATCCCTCACATTGTTCTTCTGATGTACCTATCAGTCACCAGATAAAACTCCTTATATCGAAAAGAAAAAAAGAACATCGAAAACTTTTATCTCCCATACATTGTTTTCTGGTTTAGGATCAGAGGCCTTGACAATGTTGGTTTCTTCTTTCTTGACTGAAGATAAAGAATTCTTCTGCTCAAATGCGCGTATGAGAGTCTCCTTTAGAGACTCCTTGTTGTTATCCTCGACTCTTTCGGACGGTATTTTGGAAACCATCCACTGTAACGGTGGGAGTGGCGGTGGTAAAGGCTTAGCTGGATGTTGGAGGTATGAGAGATTTCCAGCTAAGTAGCCATTTTTTGTTTCAATCTGTGGAGTTGGAGCTGAGAGAGAAGAAGCTTCAGCATTATAGAGAATTTGTTGGATCTTGCTTTCACGGTTTTCGCCTGATTCTTCTTCTTCCCAATGCTGCTCGGATATCGACACAGAGTGATTGTCACTGTTATCTGAAATGTAAGAAGAAGAGGATCTACAGAAACTGTCCTTGTCTGAATCAGAATCAGGAAGTGAAGTAGCAGTAGTCTCTGGCACCAACTGAAATGAAGAAAAAGTGTATTCATCAGGTAGTTTTAGCTTCAGTTCCGAACTTTGCAACATTTCCGAGGGATTGAAAGATATCTTCATGTGATCAAGTGGAGGAGATGAAGTAAACCAATCAAAAGGAGCCTTATCTTCTCTGTAGTGCTCTTCGAAACTTTCATCATCAATGTCTTCATCATTCTCTAGAATGGTTGCTGCAACAATCTTTGGTTTCGACGGTTTAAGTCCCAGTAGATTTCCGTTAGTCCATACTTTAATGGATTCGGTCTCAGTTTCTGATTCTTGATGTTCTTGAATACCACTTATATCATACAAGGGATTTGAGAAGCCATTGGAATAATTATGATTACCATTACTTATATCTGAAGCAGCAGCCCATGGATCTTGATGAATCAGTTCAACAGATTTATTTACCGGTGATGATGATAAATGTTGATCTGATGCAGCAGGACATATTGACTCAACATCGGTAAAGTTGTTAGAAACCTTCTCTCTTTCTTGCTTAAACACCGAGTTTTCCAACCTTTCTTCTGTAATCTCATTGGTATTCTGCTTCTGCACCTCTTCAATGGTTTGGTACCCTTGTTCATTTTCAGATTCCGAATCAATGGTGTAAAGCGCATCAACAAAATTATCCCCTTCGCTTACAGTGTCATCTTCACTGTCCATTTCCATTATCTTCGGGTTGATGTCGCGGACTGTTTCAACCGCTGTATGTTCTTTAAGTTTTGATACTGGTTCAGCATCCACAACAATGGTTGTTTCCATTATATCAGGAGCTTCATCTGTTGCACGTTGCAGAGCATCGGGTTCGACTATTTCAGCTTTCTCGTGCCAACTAACGCAAGAGGAACCACGAGCTGTTAGATCTTGAGGAGGACTATCATTTGCATCTTCGCTTTCACTTTCGAAAAGAATTGAAGCAATGGTCCGGGCTCCTGGTGTAAACCTTGAAGAAGTAAATACTCCCTTAGGTTTCTCTCCACCACTTCTAGAATCGAAAGAGCAAGAACGATGATCTTGCAAGTCGGATTTCGATTCAATTTCAACTGTTGAGGCAGTTTTCGAGGAAGAGGTTCGTCCACTGAAGCTTAAAGAAGTAAATGTCTTCCTGAAAAATCATATCAATTTCAATGTTCTGAGTCATATACGAAACACATCTCAACAATGTCAAATCCAAATGTATCGTTACCTGTCACTCTGGTTAGCCATAGAGGCAAGACTTGATATATCTCGACTCTGTGGCACAGATTTCTTCTTCTGTTTCGTAAGCAAAAATCAACAGTTAAGAAGAAGAAACTCTACCGAAATATGATTTAACTGATTTAATCTCCAAAGCAAACCTTAATTTCTGGAATTTTCGAAGCTCTTGATGCTCTTTTGAAATGAGTAGGATCAGAGTACCGCTTTAAACAAGACCCTGGACCATTTATATCAAATCTGAAGAAGAACCACAAAGAATGAATATCACATTTCTAAACTGAAATAATACGAATAACGAAATGAGTAAGGCGTGTATATACCTGTCGAGCAAGTGCAACCGCGGAGGATCCCTGCAATCCTCGTATGGAGCCATAATAAACTGTGGCAAGTCGTCATAAATAAAGTGACTTTGCTCATTTGGTATACGAGGATGCCACTCCAGACCTGAAACAACATGTGAAACTCAATTGATTCACTACACTTTAAATAATACTCATCTTCTTCATATTATTTCCACACCAAACAAACTCAACTGATTCGCTATATCAAATAGTAGTCTACTCCTTTTTTGAGTATCTACGCCTCATTATATTATACAGAGAAGCGAGATCAACAAACCAAATACTAAATGGTTCTCCCTTCAAACACTAGTATTTTCACTAAAACGAATAACTCAAACACATATAACTAAACTTTCACATTATTGAAATAATAGATCCAAAAGGAAGAGAGTTAGTCGGCTTGACCATGTGATAGTCTAATACTACAATCATCAACAAACTCTAAACTACAGAAACCTCACAGAATATTTTAAGTTAAGAAGTAAGTGAAAAGGCATGTGAGCTGGTCCTACAATAAACTCAGGATATATTTTGTTTAAAATTAAGAACACATGTGAAAGCCTAAACAAGAATCAAACAGCTTGAATCTAGACAATAAAGAAGATTAACAAGAGAAACAGGACAAAGAAAAAACAAAACCTCCAGTGTATGCAAAATGTAAGTGATTTGTTTGTGCAAGCACTGCCTTCTGGATTGAAGGCACTTTAGCTTCTATTTGCTTCAGTCTCATCTTCAATTTATTGCTTCTTGAAGCTGTAATCACAACCTCCTCTTGTATACCATGGAATATCTCTGTTGCAAACCTGAAGCATATAAAATCAAAAGTTTTCATTTTGGAAGATTTGATTAGAAGAACCCATAAAACTAAGCAAAATCAAGAAGACCAGACACAGCAAAATTGAGGGTTTTCACTAAAACACAAATAAGTAAAAAAGAGAAACTTTAGAGGAAACAGAGAGTTAGGAGTTGACTTAAATACTTACTCAGTGAGATCACCGATCTGACGCAAGATCCCAAGGAGACCAGAAACGGCGACACCGTCGAGAATAGCTTTGGGGTCTTCAAGATCGACATTTCTGTGGAGCTCGGTTTGACCTAAACCGTAAACGTTCTTCACTTCGGCCCTAAGAAGCGGCATTTGCTCTGTTTATTACTTCAATCACTGTTCTTGAAAAGAATCAACAGAAGTTACAGAAGGTGAAAATTTCAGGAGAAATTATGAAATGGGATTCGAGGATAAGAGAAAAAAGTTTCAATTTTTTTTGTGGGTTTATGGTGGGTGAGAGATTGAGGCAGCTTAACCGCCGAAAAGAGAGAGAGGGAAAAATTTTGGAGGTTACAAAAGCTATTTTTGGTGTATAGAGAAAGAGAAATGGGAGAGAGACATTACCAATACCGCAAGCCATTTCCTTTTCATATTTCATTTTAACAGGACAACCAAAAAAAAAACCAAGAGCTAAAGACAAAATACTAGGCCTGGGCACACAAACTAGTTACTCGGTTTGTACTTGCTACTCGGCCCGTGCTCGGCTTGAAAAAGCAAGTACTTGTCTCGGTCAATTCGAGTAACAAGTCAACATATTCTATTACTTTCAAGTCTGAACCAAGTATCAAGCCAACAAATTTTTTTTACTACTTGACTCGTTACTCGGCTTGATACTTGTTTAACATTACTTGCCTTGATATTTGTTAATAATTACTTGTAAATACATGAAGTTATGGGCAAATTATATTTTGGAAGTTTAATGTTTTGTAATTTTATGATGTTTGAACATGAATGTTTTGTAAGAACTTTGAATGTTTTGTAATTTGTATGGAGATTCTTTTGATTTTCAAGTACTTTCAAGTAGCAAATATATGATTTTGGCAAGTAACAAGCCGAGTCAAATTACTTGCAAGTCACATGATTTTGGACGAGTACTTGATTGAGCAAGTACTTGCTTCGAACGAGTCAAGTATCAAGCCGAAATTTTTGTTACTTGAACAAGCCAAGCCGAGTCACAAGTACTTGAAATTAGCAAGTACTCGGCTTGTGCCCATGCCTACAAAATACACCCTTAAATGTTATAAAATACGTTATATTATATGCTTTTTTTTTTGTCATCTGAAATATTTATTAAAGGGTCGTTTGCAATAATAACCAAAAAAAAACTATAATTAGGAATTTAGAAAAACTTT